ACGCTAATTTTTCACTGATTTTTATTTTTTTACCTTTTAACTAAAAAAAACTTTGTCTTATTTTGCTTTACTCTTTTCTAAATGAATGCTATCTTAACTTAAGATTGATCGGTTTTATTATCAATATTTTTATCGATTTTGTTATCGAAATTTTCATTGATTTTGCTATCGACATTTCCAGAAATTGTCGATATAATAATCGATAGATTTATCAATTTTGCTATCAATACTTTTATCGATTTTATTACCGATTTTCTAATCAATATTTTAAACGATTTTGTTATCGATGTTGTTATTGGTTTTTCTATCGATAATGTTATAGATTTTGTTATCGATTATTTATCGATTTTGCTATCAATTATCGATTTTTTGAGTGATTTCGTTATCGATTATTTATCGATTTTGATATCGATTTTGTGATCGATTATTTATTGATTTTGGTATCGATATGTTTATCGATAGTTTTATCGATTTTTTTGTCGATAAGTAATCGATTTTGTTATCGATTATTAATCGATTTTGTTATCAATTATTTACCAATTTTGTTATCGATATTTTTATCGATTTTTTATCGATATTTCTATCGATTTTCTATTTTTAACCTCTTCAATAATGCTAATGCCTCCTGGTAGAGACTAACCTTTGGTTTTCAATTCTTGTATCCTACGAAAATTGCAATTCAAGTTATAGTTAAAAAAAAATCAAATCCGTTTTTATGTTATTGTTTGTAAACATTTCTTTTTCATCGCTGAGTTGTTTAATTGCTGCGTAAGTGTTGCCAATTGTTTGTTGCACAGTAAAGGTAGTTGTACAATAATTTGAGTGTGTTTAAATATTAAAAAATATAGTGAAAGGATAATCGTAGCAATAGCAATCCTTTACACATTAAAATAAGCAAAATATGCATGGTCGTTAAAATTAAGCTTGGAATCGCTGAACAAGCAAAATAAGCAATTCCAAGCAAAAGCTTAAAATTTTCGGCCCTGGTCACAGCATTATCATGCAAAATGTTTTATAATCAATTAACTAAAATATAAGCATACATTTGAAAGGCAAATGATTTTTTTCATAACTTTGACTCGCTGACTAGATGACTGACTGGTGCAAGGTGTCGATTTACTGAGTTTGAGTGCATACATAGTTAACGGTGGTGAATGGTAGTGGCGCGTGATTTTGGCTGTCAACTAAAAATAGCATACATATATACATACATAAGTGCACAAAAATGAATGAATATTAATATGTATAGATGGGCGCATAAATATTTCTCGTTTTTTTTCATATTTTTTTTTTCAAATGCAACCTTTTGTCTGCCGACCAACAAGTGCAGTTATTTGATATTTATGAGATACCCAGTAGTCGATATGCAAGCTTAGCATTAAGGGTCGTGTAGTGCGACTTAGTATAGACATATTTATAGCTTTGAATACGCCATAGTTTTTGTTGCAATTTTCGTTTTACTTTGAGTTATTCGCTCATTTTTCCCTTAACAAACAGTAGGTATTTGAAACAAAATATCAAATCGTCAGCTGAAGGAAAATCCAAACCGCAAGCTAGCTTTATTTGTAGGTTTTTCGAGACGCCTAAAACCGCAAAGTAGATGTACATATTTGTACTTGCAATATATTTTTTATGTAATAATTTGTGCATTAGACTGGTCTAAAAAAATCGACCATTTCTTTTTTTAAATCCCTTGTGAAATATTTTCAAGACATTGAAAAAAGAAGCACTTTTCTAAGATTAAGATCTCATCGGGAATTTCTATTTTCCATGAAAACATTTCTTTCAATTTTTAAATTTTATAATTCGCTTTTTAATGCGTTTTCTTTTCTATGAAAACTGTTGCCTTTTTATTGCGCTGAGAAGAAGGCAACATTTAAAGGCTGAAAGAAAACGACATAGGTCAACGTGTCGGATTGAGCGATATATGTATATCTTTGAAAGAAATTGAAGGCTATAAAAAAATCTCATATGATATGATATGAACATATAAATTATTTGAACTTTTTTTTTAGAAAAATGATTTTAATTTTTTGAATTTTATACGGAAATTGACAAAAAATTAAAAATCTTTTTCCATTTAAATTTGCTGGTGAAATCGGCTATTAGTGATGAATTTCAAAATTTGGCCGAAAATTAAAAAAAGTGAATTCTTGAAGATATATGTTCGACTTTAACCTGGAATAACTTTTGGAGAATGAAATCAATTCAATTCCTTCAAAATATACCGCTCATTCCGATGCGTTGACTTAAAGAGAAGTATTAAAATTTCAAAATGGAAACTAATTTTTCTCATGTGTTAGATATTTATATAGAAAATATAAATTCGCGATGAGCATCCTCTGAATCTTAATATTAACGGCTGTATTTTCGACAGGCGTCTTTTTTCATTGTGCCGAAAATATTTCACAAGAGATTTTGCAAAAAAAAGTAATTGTAGATTTTTTTAAACCAGTCTAATGTGCATACATACATATAAATATATATAAATATGAATGTGTCCCATGTACTACTTGCATAAAATTCGATCGCATACCCTAACGACGAATCAAAGCAATGCGGAACAAATTCAATATGCATTGCCAACATTGCAGTGCGCGCATATGTACACATATAACCATTATTGCCGCAAATTCACCAAAATGCTGTTCACTGCTGTAAGAGCCGTTAGTTGCGCTTAACACACCGGCTTTAACAGCACTCTCAGCTAGCTAGTTGTCGTAGACGCGCGAAATCCATCGCATTGTTAAACCTTTTTTACTCGTACCTAGCGAAAAGCATAGATATAAAGCGTATAGCTGCGATCTAAAAATTAAATGCATATGTGCTTATAAAAGTATTTGTGTGTATGTGCGCGTTCGTAAAGTGTTTTTTGTTAGCGCTTCAAATTGCTGCAGCATAAATAATTGAAATTAGTCGCCAACTAAGCGGGTTCTTTTTGTCTTTCGACACAGCAGCGGCGCGCGACATTGTATTTATCTACGTACATAAAAGTGCTTTTGTTTTGATTTTCTTTTCTGTAAACAGCGCAATTCGTTAAATGTTGGCACATTAGAGTGCAAAACTTTCGTGACATCAATCTGCAATATTTTGCCTTTGATTTGCACTTTAACCTCTGCAAAAGGTGCCAATGGCGTATGAGTAACATACCGACGAAGCTTATTAGACTGGCTTTCAAACTTGTGTTTTTGTGTGTGTATTTTTAAATATACAAATGCAAAAAGCTTGCACGCTTGCATAAATACCCTATAATTATGTAAATTTATGTGCTAAATAGTTATTTGCAAAGGCGCGTGTGTTTTTGTATGTGTCTTATTTATGGCGGTCCTTATTGTTCTTCGCTTGCAGTGCAACTAGTTTCTCTATTTTAGCTGCTATTCTTTTGCGTTCAACTATGGTAAGTCATTGCCGCTTTATTTGGTGTTTACAACCATTTATTATGCAATTAATATATATCTCTGCAGAGGCATTTATAAAACTCATATTAAACAAGACAAGTTGTATGGATGGCGCTTGTTAAGTTAGCTGAATGCTGGAATTTAACTACAATTATAAAAAATAAAAATAAAATGAGAAAAATTAATAGTAAAAGAAACTGTAATGAATTTGCTGATAACAAGTATGCAAACAGGTTGAACGTGTTTTCTACAAACTAAAAGTTATGCTTATCATATTTTTAGTCCCATTCACCATGTAACAACAATCAGAAATTTCAATTGGAGTTGCTAGAAAAGTTACAAATAAGTACATATGTACATCCGTGAGATACCGACAACCTAAATCCCAAAATTCTGGGTTTTTCAAGAAGTTTTTATCAAATACTTATGTGTGTTCATATAGTCATGTGAAAAATATTAGGTACACGACATTTTGACCAGTCTTGGCTATTCTTCTTTTGACGGTTTAATGTTTTTTTATATTTTTAAACAAATACAGTTCATTATCTAAGAAGCATCATATAAGCCCAAATTTCAAACTTAAGGAAAACTAAATTAAAATTGTTTAAAAAAAAATTAAGAAAATATTTGTGGGAAATAAGCCGTTTCATGATTATTCACTTATGACGCTCTTGGTTTAAGTACTAGCTCAATTCTCAGAGGCGTGGCTACACAAATGTTATGGCTTATTTTAGTTTATTTTTTCTTTAATTTATATTCATTAGATTTCCAGCAGCTCGTAATTTTTGCTTCAGGCATTTGAAAATTAACCAAAATGCAAACATAATTCTGAAACACACCTCTTAATTTATGCATCATTCAGCTGTGTGAGAATTTAGCAAAAACTTCCTGAATGACTCAATTTGCCACTACATTTTTTTTTTTTTTCAATAAAAAATTAACGTATTTACTACACTTATTTAGTTAATTTCAAACAACAATAGCCTTATAATTTCAGCAATAAACGTCAGCGCCAAACCCAGCGAAGCGATTAAACGAGCGCTACATTTTATTTTAGTAATTTTAGTAAAAAATGCTAAAGAAAAACTTGACATGTTTAACAGTGCAAAAATTTTAAATTAATCAGTTGATTTTCATTTTTCATTGTTTCTTTTGGTGTTGCTAATTTCCTCAATAAATGCTAAAAGGGGCGTGCGCAGCTTGCCAATCCAACTAAATAAGCCAAAGACGACACTATAGCCAAATGAGTTCAGGCAGCTGGAAAATATAGTACATATTCGCATGGCTGCAAATTTTCATAAAATAACTATAATTATGTTAAGCAAAGTAGTTTAAATTAATTATAGTGTAAACAGGCACGAAATTTGAGATTTGAGAATGCTGCGCTGAGGGAGTGGCTGTGGTAATTCTTTTGTTATTTATAGCTCGATGAAGTCATTCTATGTCTGGCGGCTTTGGGAAGGTTTTTTTTTCTTTTATTAGAACAAACTACTTATAGCAATTTATGAGCTTAACACTTTGATTATTTTAGTAATTAAGAAGTTTCACGGTATATCTTTTTAACAACTTTAAACTAATAATGAATCTTTTTTTTTATTACAGGTAAGCAATGTCGGAGAAAATTGACTAATACAAAAGGAAAATGATTCACTTAATGGTATGAAAATATTATTGTTTGTTTATAATAAGTTTTATTTGTTTTCGTGTAAATAAATAAACGAAATCTTTAAGTTACACATTTCAGATCAGTGCGATTAGTTTCTTCCTGCGGCGTACCGTTCTTTAAATAGCTGGTTATATGTAGGCAGTGGAATATATGTAGTTCTTATCTTAATGATGAGGAGTCTTGCATATTCAGCACGGATTCACTTGAAAGACTTAATAATGGCTTCCAAAGAGAAGTTATTGAAGGCTACCCGACATCATGGCCTTTTCCTAGTGTAAATTCTTTGAAGTTTGAGGAAGAAGCTTCTATGTTTGCTAAGATTTTTAATAAAAGAAAAAATTGTTAGAATCGCCGTTTAACCGTATTTAGATATGTCCTTAATAAACGCTCAGGCTGGTTTATGAGTGGGTGTGTAGATTATCTATTACCTTCGCGCCCTTATATTATTCTAAGATCAGAGGCTAGTTTATGCGCGGGTTCATGTATGGCTCAGTAGTTGGATATGGGCGCTACCACTCCGTAGGACCTAGTATCGATCGCAGCTTCGAGCAACATCTAAATTATAAATAGTTTTTTCTAACAGCGGTCGCCTGAAAAAGCTTCCCATAAAACAATTTTGCATGCTAAAAAATCAACCAAAACCAAAAGATAAGGTTAGGTTAGGGTAGCGGGCTGTCTCCGTGCATGGAGGCCCAATTGGACTCGACCAAGCTGTCCATTGTGATGCCCTAAGAAGGCAAGAGGGAAAAGAGCGCAAGAAGATGGGAAGGTGAGTAGGAGGGTATAGAAAGAGAGGGGAAGCTAGGCAAGAATGACGACATCTATGTCTTTTTATTGGAGAACCGTTTCGTGCTCGCAACGAATCTCTTCAGTCGACTGATGTCCATTCCCGATAGCTCATCGGGAGTGCGAAAAAGTCTGATTCAAGGTGCTTAAAACTTTGGGTCGGAAAGGCAGGGTACTAGAGCAGCAGATGTTGAGATGACTCCACCTCATCGCATCACCTCAAGTATTCCCACCAATATCGACAGATGTAGCTAGCTTAGTGTCAAGAGCTCCCCAGTCCGGGCGCGGTTTACCCGTGGCCAGAAGGATTTTGCCACCTTGCATTCCAGGGTCTTCGCTCAGTGCTCGCGGAGCTGACTAAACGCCCATCTGTCCAGAAGCAGACCACACGAGGCCAGAGAGCCCCCAGACCTTCCATATCCGAAAGTAATTCCTCGAGGGTTCTCTGTCTTGCCAGCTCATTGATCATGCAGTCTCCAGCGATTTCCCTGTGACCTGGAACCCAAATAAGCTTAACAGCGAAGTATTCAGATGCGGTCTATAAGGAAGTCATCACTCCTTCACCGTTCTCGAACACACCGTCAAGGAGCCAAGAGCCTTGATAGCTGCTTGGCTTTCGGAATAGATATTCACCTCCTTAAAAGGACATACTCCAGAGAGGTCCTCAGCCTGGAAGACGCTACAGTGATCTGGTAGCCTAAATTTCAGGTTGATGGAGAGTTCTTCGCAGAAGACGCCCCCACCTTCCATTCAGCTTCGATCGATCTGTAAATAAGTTCACAGACCCCGATTCCAGATACTGCACCCCTCCCAGGCCTCTCTTGCTGGAATGTAAGTCGTGAATAGAATACTGGAATGCCCATAGCTCGAGGTGAGATTAAAGCCCACCCCGCTTAGCCTTGCTGCGGTGCGCGCAAAAGGTCACCTTCGGCCATAACTTGTATGTTGAATTCGACGACAGAAGTGACTGAGAAGTGAGAAGTGAACTTACATCATCCTAAGTAAGATTATAATCTTTAGAGACGATATCAAATGAACATCGTAAAAAAATCTAGTCTCTTACTTAGATCAGAGGTGCGGTTACCTGACATAATCTAACTTCTTAGAAGATGTTTATATCAGAAGATAGACTCCAAGTAAGGCGTTGAATAGCATCTATGATATCAGTACCGGCAGTCATCAGCATTTATTGACCCATATTCATATACATGCATATATATTTGAGAAAAGCGAGAGCTTCTCCATCTGACATTATAATAACTAGCGTAATAGTATTATGTTATATTAATGAAAGGAATTTTTGTTCAAAACTTTTCAAAGATGCGCTTCTTTGTATGACTTTGTTCAACATTTTGTAAACAACTCTCCACTAAAAATTGGCTTGGAAAGTAACAATTAAAAATAAATTTACCTAATCGCTGTCAATCAAGAATAATTTGAATATTTTATTAAAGCAAAAGGTTTTAAATTAGTTGGTGTGATTTTTACTGCTAGGTATTATGTTGTTTCTCCTAACTTAAAAGCAATTAAATAATCAGAGAACCAATTAATAAAATATTTTTTCAAAATGAGGGACGAGTTAAAGTGATTTATTTCCGTAAAATGATTAGCTATTTGTTTATTTATTTATTTATTTATTTATTTATTTCCAATTCTAAGTTTCTTTGCACGTATTAAGAATTTATAAAAAAAAAATGTTGGCATGTGGCAAAATCTAAGAAAATAATAACAAAAAAAAACCTTAAAGATAGCTAGATGTCTTAAATCTTTGTTTCTGTGGAAAGCTGGGTGCGATACAATCAACCACAAGTGCAAATATGCATACTCGCTTAGCAAATATTAGAAGTATAGATATGCAAGACAATTTTCGTTAAGTGCCTTCAGTCTCTGATAAATGTCAAATTTTGTCTGCCGTTGGCACTTAATGCTTAATCTAACATCAGCTGACTATGATCAGCGAGCAAAAACTTACAATCACTGCACCGACCGACACAGGCCATTAAGCGCATTGCTTTCTTGCTTCGAAGGTTCTTTTGTTTTGTGTTTTCCACTGATTTAATACCGTGCGCTGCCATTGTTTTTGCACTTCATTTGTTTTATGTAGCAACGCTCTTTGCATTATTTTTAACTTATAAAACAATAAATCTAAATTGATTGCAAAGTATTTTGCTTTAGTTTTGCATTGATTTTTTTTCTAAACCGGCAAGTTTTGCACTGCTTACTCGCTAGCTGGTTTGGCTCGAAGCGGTTCAAGTGGTATTTACTGCTGAAGTCTGTGCACAAATAAAGGCAAGCCTTTCAAACGAACTATAAAATTACTTTATTAGGAAGGTTTGTACTCTTGGCTAGAATAAAATCTTCGTTGTTGTTGTTTTTGTTATTATAAATAATTTATTGCTTATTTACATACATATGTATGTATAGCTATAGGGGATCGTCTTACTCTTTTAACGTCTATTGGTTGCTTTAGATTGACAGATTGAGAAAAAATTGGCAAACAAAGAGTATATATGCTGGATGCTGCAAAAAAAACGTAAAGATGATAGTTGGAAACCTGCGTCAACGTCACCCATTATATTCCATTCCCATCCGCGGAAAAGCAGGGAAGTCTTGTAGCTTGAGAGCAATGGAAAGCTCGTGTACCGGATATCCAATCTTCACAAGCTCTGGCCACATTTCTGGCAGTGCAGGTAAACATGAGACCCTCTCAGGCAATTAATTTGACATCCAACCTGCTCAAAATGCTACTTCCGCAAAAAGCAACAGAGGCAAATGATCTCGAATAGCGTTTTTGATGTTCCGAAAGCTTGAAAAGTATATTTCATATTACTTGCAGGGGTTATTAGTAGTTTGAAATATCCTCAAACCATCTATAAACGCAAGGGAGTTTCAAAGCTCATTACAAAGCCTATTCTGGCTTGCATATCGAGCTTACGGAGAAGCAAAATATTTTGTCTCTTCGGCAAATAATTAGTTAGTCCTCTGGTAAAGAATAAACTTAGACAAAGGCAATAAGGTACCCAGCACTGGATCCGTTATTCACAATATTGGCCGGCGCCAAGAGCAAGTAAAATCGAGGCAAAGAAGCCACATTAGAGTGCAATAAAAGGCGGTCTTGGTGGCAGGGATAGGACATTTTTCAAAACTCGCTTTACCGAATCATATTGACAAGTCTACCTGAGATGCAGCATAAACACCACCAATAATGTCAACAACATCAGCTTGGGGATTAAGTGAAGAGTAATTCTTGCCAGCAGGTGGTTCCGTGGGATCGATAAGCATTAAAAAAGCGAAACCTTCGCTCGGCGAACAAATGCTACGCTCTACAAGTCTCACGAAATAACTTTATTGAAACACCAAGCTGCTTGGACACTTTAATTGTGTTTGCTGAATTAGGTAAGGTTAGGGTGGGTGTCACGGATATGGGACGTACTTGGCGCTATAACCGCCGAAGTGGATTTTGGACGAGTTCAACAAAGCACGCCAATCGTTTCTCTTCTGTGCCAACTGACGCCAATGGGAAATGCCAAGTGAAGCCAGGTCATTCTCCAGTTGGTCTTTCCATCGCAGTGGCGACCTTCATCTTCTTCTTTTACCGCCAACGGTTTCCGAGTTGAAAACTTTCAGAGCTGAAGCGTCGGAGTTCATTCGAACGACATGGCCAAGCCAGCTAAGCCGCTGTATTTTAATTTGCTGCACTATGTAAATGTCGCTGTACAGCTCATACAGCTCATCATTCCTTCGTCTGCGGTACTCGCAACATTTTTCTCTTGAATACTTCAACAGCCACCTCATGGGATGTTGTCATTGTCCATACTGGTTCCCAAGTAAACGGAATTCTCCACTTTCTCGAAATTATAACTGACTAGGAGTCTTAGGAGATTTTATTTTTTTGTGATACGCAGATTTTGATCAGTAATATTAACTTAATCGACGAGCCGCCTACCTAACTGACGTCTTATTCTTCAGCAGTAAGTACACTTCTTCCTTAGTGGCAACTATTTCTGCATGAAAAAAAACTTCAGCAGTTTGGAGGCCTGAATTTAGTGTTGATTGTAGAGCTCCCGGCAGAAATTTGTATCCATCTGGATCTATCCGTTAGACAGTACTTAATTTTTTAAAGTAAACCTTCTCTCACAAAATTGTGGAGCCACTAAACAGGCCCGCTTTAGACTAATAGGCTAAGCTCTGTGGCCTAGCGCAGC